CCTGCTGGCTTCGAGTTAACTTGCCGAGCCCTTCGATCGGGATCCTACTGCGGCTCGAACGTGTGCCACTCTCGATTTTGGTGAACCTGTGCGAGCGGACCGGTTCCTTCGGACCACGTTTCCTGGCTGCCTGACGTCCTCTCCGGTTTCGAATCGAAGGTGAAGAGACTGTTTGCGATTAACCAGGGGTGACAAACGAGGGATCCGTTTCTTCGAGCAGTCCTTACGTTTTGGCTTTCCTTTGGAATTTTTCGAATCGACGTTGCAGATCCTGCGTGGTAGAAGTGATTAATCGTTGAGTTGCTAACTGCAATTTTGGTAACTCGCTATGATTTCTTGTGTTTATTTTATTTTTCTTTTTTTAAGTAGGTTAATTTTTATTGGTTTAATTGGTCTGTGTTTATTTCGAGTACTTTCTTCGCGTGTATTTATTTCGAGAATTTTGTCGGGATTTTTGAAGTGACAAACGAAGGAATTGATAAATAGTGGTGGATGGAGAATCTCTAAGGAGAGTCTGAAAGAAGTGTGCATGCGTTGCGTTGTATTTAGAGTCAGTTGGTTAGATTGATTTGGTTAAAGGAATTTAAAAGAAATTTTGGAAGTAATTGATAAAATATTTGCTTACTTTCGATTTAACTTTGGAAGAGGGAACAGAGGAAATGTTTGATTATAGGATTACTCGTGTCTGAGGAAGTTTCAAGAGACTGTTTTGAATAGCAGATAATTATCTGTGGTCTTTTCCTTTCTTCCACTGTTAAAAGTTGGAGATTCCTACGAGATACTTTGCTTTCAGGTTTAGCGTGTTTGAACAATTTAGGAGATAGAGTAGGATGAAAATTTGAAAGAATTGTCTGTATATATTTGCTCCGTTAGTTCTATTTTAATTTAACAGTATACGTAAGAATTGCTTTCTTGAGATTTCTATTTCGTAGTGTGAAAGGTAGAGTTCGTGTGTAGAGATATCCCCACCGTTTTCAAATTAGAGACAAGGAATATGTAAGAAGGCAACCTAATTTGAAGTATATTAAATTTTCTTAATTTAATTTCAATCATTTTCCTCGATTTAATTTTTTAATTCCTGTTAAAATTAGTTTTTAAAGAGTTCTCTATATTCAATAACTTTCTTTCTAAAAGTAAAAATATATAAATGGAGAAGTCACCGTCAATTTCTTATTTTAAATTTAATTTATATTCATTTCGATGTTCAATCTACTAGTGCGCGTTTCAGTAATATTTTTTTTTTGCAAAACTTTAAGCTTCGATTTTTTAAAGAACACTTTAGTTACTCTTCCTTTCAGCCTTCAAATAAGGTTGCTCGAGCGCATATACAGCATAACATGTGTCTCCTAAATTGAAAATTAAGTGTTTAGCAAACTAACTTGGAAAGTAGTGCAAAATGGTGCCTTATAGGGGAATTTTTATTTAAATTTGTTTTTTATTCAAGCTCGATCTTTACCTACTTGAATAGATATTAATATTACTCTATTTTCATTTTTGTTTTAAATGTTTTAAAATCTTCTTGTCTATAAATTTTCACATTGCACGTTTCATTTCCTTTTATCAACAAAGAATGAAGAAAAGGAAGAAAATTAAAGAAATATATGTTTAAATTCACTAGATTATTTCTTTAGTTCATTAATTTATCATAATAAGTAAAAATCCAAAAATAGAGAAAATTCTAAATTTAGCAACAACGTTAAAACTTCTCTCGTTGATATTTGATAGCACCTTGTCAATTTTCCTTTCCTGGCATGCAAATTAATATTGTTTTAAAACTCTTGGTTTCCAAATAAAAACACGTAAATGCAATTATAAAAGTTTCGTACTCTCTTAAAAAGATCTCCTTTAATATTTAATCTAATCTCTTTTAAAAAATCTGAGCAGAGAAATTAATTCATAAACGTTCTGTCAAATCTAATGTCAACTTAATACATGAAATATTTAATATTTCGCAGTAATGAAAGCATCGATTTGAAAAAGCATAATTCGAAAATGAAAATGAATAAAGATTTAGTTAATTTTAAAGTACGTAACTCCTATTCTGAATTTCGTAATAATCGTCAGACTTTTGATAAGAATTAAGACATTAAAGACATATCATTTTAATCATACATACTATAATGAAATCTAATTAAATTATCGTAATTAACGACTTTCGTTCCGTCGAATAAATTTTTCCTCCATCCATGAACTAAAAAGCCAACTTTCCTTCCCAGAAATTGTATTATTTAAAGACAAGGGAAATGGTTCGATGTTTCTAAAACAAATATTATACTTTCCTGCATATTTGTTTCAAAATTTTGCGAAAAATACGAATGTAATATATTTTTATGAAACTGACATTTTATTGATTGAGATATACTCCGTTTTGTGTTAGTTTTACCATTTTATTGGGTTCATTCGTGAGCTTTCTCTCATCAAACATTTTGTTTCCTTTTGCAATGGATTCTTTCCAGGAATTTCTCCAAGCTTACATAAAACACGATCTTTTCTGTTAAAAAGAATTTTTTGCAGTCTAGAGTAGATGATGATCAGATTGTGCTACTAATCTGGTAGATAAATGGGATAGAATATCCCAGATAAGACATAACACTTGTTGCTGGCTCTTTATTGGTCATTTAATCACCATTTCTGTACATTTATCTTCAATTGCTCCGTTTAACGTTGAACTAGAGACAGTATTTGCCAGAATTTAACATTTCATTATACACCAGAGGTTCATAATAAATAGTACCCTCTCATTTCAATCGACTACACAAAAGAATTTGATATCGAGTGTCAAAAACGCTTCAAACTTTCGGAACAATCCAATCATTGAATATTATGAACGATTTTACTTTTTGTCCCTAAGTCTTTCAATATTAATAATCCAATATTAATAATAAGAGTTCCTGTGTCATACATAAGGTTCCAATGTTTTCTAATATTCAAACATTTTTAATTAAGGAAGATGAAGTGTGTATTTTTCATGTAAAAATGTGTTTGTTAATGTTAATTTTAAATTAGTCATTAACTTTTCTGTCGTTTCATGATTGCTTTTTATATTTTTTAATTTATAGCAAGAAAATGAGAATAATTTTATTTATATAAAATATAAATATATAAAATAATTTGGAAATAATTATTCGAAGTTTTCAATATATAGATTTGGACATTCGTATAAATCACTATTATACAAAATAGAAATTTCGTTTTAAAAATTTTCTTTGCTATATTTCAAATTATCATATATATATTTTATAATTATTCAAAAGTTATTTATGAAAATAATTACAAACGCAATCGTAACACGATATGTGCTATGTACATATACTTTGTACATCATACCACGATATAAATATGTATACATACGCAGATAAGAGATTGTGTACTGTCTATATCCTCCATCATTGAAGGATTAAATATCCTTTACTCTAGCTTGATTCAAAATACCTTTCTTCCAAAATTCATTAATTAAAATTTTCAAGCTATTTTATACCATAGTTCATGAGGATGCAATAAAAATAACAAAAAATTTAAAACTCTATATTAATTGTTTTGATTTAATTTTCCTTAATTTTGTTTCTTTGGAATAAAATATTGGTATATATTTTGCAATTTAAAGCTGAAATTATTTGCATCGAAAGATTTTAAGTAACAGTTATTTTACCGATGAGTACTATATTGAAAAAGGCTATTTGCTTGGAGCAGAAAGCGTTGGGTTATACTACTGCGTGATAACGTCATGCTACATATTGCTCTCCATGTTCACAGAGTGCAGAAAATTGATTAAGAAGTGGCTAGTACTATACTCGATATATCGTTCTTATGTTATACTTTTGGATATTCACTTAGGATGATCAATAAAACATATTTTCTTCGGGAACAAATTTCGAAAGTAGATCAATGAATTTTGCCTTTGAAACAGGAATTTCTTTATCGATACAAAATTCGCTCAGTTGAAAAATTAGGGGAAGAAATGGACGCTATATATGTATAGGAAGAATCATTTTGATTAGTTGAAAATTGAAAAAAAATGTAATATTAAATATTTCAAGAAATTTGAAATGGAATAGTACAATTTTGAGAAACTAGAGGCCTATTAAGGAGTATAAAATAATATAAAAATATAAAATAAAATAACATGCACTGGTTGCAATAATACACTTTGTGTAATTATTGTTATAACAGGTACTCGACGTTGCTATGCTAGATTTATGTAAATACATGTCAAGGGACTTGTAGAAGAAATAGAGATCAACGTAAGAAGCTACTTGACATACCGTTTTTGAATAGTAATTACACTAACTATATAATTTCAGCTGGGGTATTTCACTCTGTTCTTAAACAAAGTATAAGTACTTTAAGTAACAAAGACAAAGAGATCATCCTGTATGTTCACGAGAGTTCTCATACGGAAAATGCTTTTAAGATATTAAGAACACCTGCTCTCAACCACGAAATTTCTGCTAAATAAATTCTTTTCTGATTTCCAGCTTTGGAAACAGATATTTATAAAATTCCAAATTTTTCCTTTCATTTACACGAAGAATATACATCATAGGGTACTTCGCAATATTATTGAAAATTGAGCGAAGTACATTTCGATATCTTTCGTTTCTGTTATTTTGTTAAATTATATAAAATACACGCGATAATTTTAATAATTAGAATAAACAAATGAAAAATTAATTGCAAATGAATTAATATATCGATTGCATACTTGCATTCGAAAAGGAAGATTTTATTTACCATAAATTCTCTCTAATTTTTATTACCTTCGACGGAAGTAAAAATTATTTATATTAATTACTAATATTAAAAATTTCTTTCGCAATAATGCCATATGTAAAAATTCATGGAATGCTTAATAATTAATATTCAATTTTACGCTTAATGTTAAAAAATGAAATATTCTGTAATATAAGTGATTAAAATATTTCAATACTTTTTCGAGCTATATATTTAAGGAACATTTAATTAACATTGAATTTATTTTGATGCAGAACACCACTAGTCACATGGCGATCAGTTCGGAAACTTCAGTGACGGTTCTTATACGTACCTGGATAATCTTTTGTTTCGCGGGCTGTGCAGTTGGTATGTATTTTTAACAGTATACTCTATATAACTTATAATTTATTTATATATTAATGAATAACAGGCACCGATACATTTCTTTTACTTATTTAGTCATTTTTAACGATTTATTTCGGACATTGGAGATTGAAAAATAATTAATTTTCTCAAAAGTGTAAATAGTCGTCACGTAAATTATTTTAATAAATCTAAACAAATTATTCAAAGTATAAAACAAAAATGTAGTATAATCCAAGTTTACCAATTAGGACCCACTGCAAAAATCCAAAGCTATCTATTAGTCAACCTGATATTAAATTAAAAATTATCAATGGCTCAAAAAATATTTTTTATTTTAAGAATATTAATAATGTAGTTCGCCAGTAACAATAATTTTTACTTTAAACAAAAATTAATGTAAAATAAAAAATAAAAACCGTCACGATATGAACGAATTAGTGGTCAAAGGTTTTCCGTCATTTCATAGCCGCGAAATATCGTGTTAAAAAGTAACTTCTCTGTTTGATACCTACTAATATAATGTGGGAATACAAACAAACAACAACAAGGAATCCTCGCAATTAATCTTGTTCCGAGGGTAGAAAGTAATTACAAGAACGAAAAGTATACCAGCATTTCCTCGGCTGTAAACTTATTAATCACATCGTAGGTAGAGCAAGTTTTTCGAAAAATTATTAAAACGAACTGAGATTTTATTCCATAAAAGGAAAAAGATGCATCACGATAACGAAGTTAGGCCATTTTCTGTGTACTATAATTTTACTGATACCTTGATTACTTAATTAACAGTATTCTTTTAATACTACTTTATAGATGAGTTACATAGAATATTTAATTATGTCATCGTTATTTTTAAATGAGATAATTAAAGAAACCTGTATTTATAATAAATGAATTTAAAAATAAAAATTTATTTCGTTATTAAACACTTGGAAATTAGAAAGATGATTAAATTTCATTGAAATAATACTTTATTCATTTTTTAATTTTTAAGGTGCGTTTACAAAATATTTTTTACTCACGATCATCCCTCTTAAATTTTTCTTCAACTCCACTGAAACCAAAGATGTATAATACCGTGACTGCAGAGAGGGCAATAAAACACTATTAATTAACGAAGGTTTTAAATTTAATCGATTCAGTGTAAATTGTGATTTCGTATTCACGACTGATAGTGTAGTAAATCTTATTGTTGCACCGTGAATTCGAATAAACGAATCACTATGGGAGTACATTAGCTCGATAAATAATGTAATAGAATTACAATAACAAATAGAAAATGTATGTAAGGAAATACGAGACGTGACAAGAATATTTCAAAATGTAGGTCAATCCATGATACACACACATGAATATTGTATTTAAATGAAGATACGATACATCACGTACAGCTTTTAAAAATCTATCTATCATCATGATCGCTCTTTTGTCACTTTTCCTGTTGGAATTCTTTTTTCTTGAATTTCATAATTAATATATATTCTGTTTAATCTTTTAAAATTTATTTTTAATACGCTTAATGTTCTGTTAATGAAATTAATTAATTCTTTATATTACTTAACATCATGAACATAAAATTATGGTGGTCTTATATTTTTTAATAAAAGTCTTGAAGATTAGTGGATTTTTGAACAAATTGTTATGAATTATTTAGATGAGTTACTGATGAATTCGTGGAATAAGTTATTTGTTATATTTTGTCTGCACACGAAGATTGCAAGTGAAGTCAAATACATTGGTTAAAGGTATTAATAATTTATGCAACTTCTTTATCTTTAATAAATTTGAAAGCAGAGAATAAAAATAGATTAACAAATTAAATATTCTCAGACTTTTTATAAATCATGCATGATTGTAAGAAATATTGATTTCATTGGAATTAAAATAATTTCCTTAAAATAATAGAGTTATTAAAACATGAATATATTTTATCATAATTTATTAGAATTTTTATGTACATAAATTTCAATTTATTTAAATATCAATACTTAAGTGTTCTACGATTATAAAATTTATAATACAAAAACACGTCACATAATCTATTTTAAACTGAATTTGGACATGGATATAATGTAACTTCCTTCTTTCAGAACTTAATTAAAAATAATTAACTTTAACTTAATAGACAGTTACACTTTGGTAGTTAACAATGTGACGTATGAAACCACATTTTTAATCATCAAATATTAAAATACTTCAGCATACAAACTTATAAATTCCTCTGTTCGTTATTAAAAAGATGGGACAGAACTCATTTAACTTTCATAGATATTTTAATTCATTAAATTCGAGTTACTCTGCGAATTGCCCACCATTCTTTAAAATCGTAACATTTTTCGATGCTCTAACTTCTACAGTTTTATTAAAGGATCTCATAAAGGATTCCCTTACACTCGAAATATCAAATAAATCCCGAAGCAAAATTCAGAAATCAGAGAATTAAATTATACTTAAAATTCCTTCTAATAAATCCTAATTCATCTTCCATTTTAATTCCACTTTTGCAAGATATCAATCAGCACTATCTTAAGAAGTTAAGGATTTATTAATATAAAATAATAATAATTTCCTAATTAAAATTAAGGAAATATTAATAATATAAAAATAAAAATTTCTGAAACGATAATCGTGAAGCTTGCCAAAAGTACATATTTAATCCTGAAACTATATAAAAATATTAAAAAATTAGGGTTTACTTAAGAATCTTTTGAATTCTAAAATAATTCTAAAAAATAAAAATTATGATATAAGACTTATGCTTTCCCTGTGATAAAGACAGCAATATCAAACATGAAAATTCCAAATGACCAGAAATGAACATTCGACATTTCACGCAAGTTCCTCAGAGTTATTAATCCTGGTTGGAAGTATCAGTCGAGGCTGTTATTAAATGCATAATGCACACGTAGAGAATAGGTGGCTTAAGGAGGTTTAATATGAACAATAATAATAATAACGTGAACAAACTTCGCGCAACTTCGTAATGGGATCATCTGTGGTCTAACGATCCCTGGGTCGCGTTAAATTTTAATTATATATAGAGAATCCTCATTTACAGATTACAAGATTAGCAACTTCACGCGTTCCAACAGTTTTGCGGTAGTAACCTGTTGCAGCTAATCCTAGGGAATCGGGGCTTTGTCGCTTCGTGAGTTTGCTGATCGATATTTAAGTAAACAGACAACTGACACTTCTTGGAAGGAAACTAAAGTCAACTTATTAGATTGTCAACGAAAATTAATCAACGAATTTTTAATATATTATATAGAAATTTAAATAAAATTTAAATAAATAGTAAAATTATTTCTTCGATGGGAAAATTTAATTAGTAGAAATTATATAGAAAATTCGCATTTATATAAAGTATATTATACTCACCTAAATTTGTGAGAAATGATACAAATTTATTTAACATTTGTAGAAATTTGTAGATGGAATTAAATTTGGAAAAAATCCTACGTAATTTCTTGTATATATAGAAATTGAGAATTACTGTGCTTTGAATTATTTATTAATGGAAGTCAAATTTAAAAAATTTCCTATTACAAGATTTATATGCTTTTATGATAAATTCACTGTAATTACATGTCATTAAAAATCTCGTTGAATGTTCATTCTGAATGAATTTAGATGAGCACATGCATATGGGGTAAAAGGAGTCTACATGTCTACGGAATGAATTGTAATATGGTTATTTCGTAAGGAAAGATACCAAAGAATTTTTTATAGTAAAGAAATACGAGATGTAATAATATCGATAATAAGATTTCTTTCCTTTTGAATTTTGGAAATATGTGGAATATTAATAATTATAGTTATAAAATAAATAATAGGTACTTCAAATATTATATTAAATAATGTAGTAACAAGTAAAAACCATTTCGTAAAAAAGATAGGTTATAAAGAATATATTTAGTTATGCTAACACTCTATTATTTACAAGATTGTTATTATTCGTATTTGTCATTCTTGCTTCTTCTTTCAAATATTTATAATAAACAATATTCGTATTATAAAATTAATTGGTGTTAATTGGTTTAGGTAAACGAGAATTAATATTCGCAACAGTAATAATACGCTAAAATATTTGGATATGACGATCTTTATATTCCCATCGTATTAAATCGACGAGCTAATCATATGAAATTATAGAGTTATTGTGAATATACTTTATATGCACATTTATACATTTATAAATCTGACCATTCAAACTGTGTTTATTTTTGTGTCATTAAACCATGATATTTTATGTAATTGTCTCCTTACTGACATTAAATACTTCACCTTTAATAATTAATCTCGATATTACAAATTAAATTAAAAAGCTATATCATTTCTTCAATTTGTTTCACAATTTTAATCACAGTAACATTCATTCCAGATACCAAACTTTCTCATTAGCAAATTCAAACCCTCTTCAAATCTCTTTCAAAAATTATTTTAAATAAAGGAATAAAATAAATTGGCTAAAAATGGGTATTAATAACAAAATACATTAATTATATTAAAATTTATATGCATAATCAAAAACGGTAAATCGACCAAATAATTTTATTAGTAATTAAGCACGATAAATTTATGAAAAATTTTAATCAAGAATGAAATGCAATAAGTCGACTAAAATTTGCGTTAATAATTAAAAGAAGTACAGTGACTAAATAATTTTATTGGTATTCTTATTTTTATTTTATAAGTAATTTTATTAGTAATACAGTAAATTTACTAGAAGTTCGCACACCAGAGTTGCCTCTTTGTGGTACTTTCTATGCGTTCTGATATTTCTCTACGTGTCCAAAGGCTGTCCTATAGCGAGAATAAAGAGAGTGCGTCGATCATGTTACCAATGTACATCCCTGATTCAAAGACGATGTGTAAGGGTACGAGAAAGGAAAAGAACGATGGTGGTCCGTCATGAACAGTGAAATCAGAAAACCAATTGTTGCCTTTGTCACCTGCTGATGCAACTAGATATGGAAATCGATGTTGTCCACCCGTGTCTTTCCTCTGCATGTGCATTTGGATTACAGATGTATCAGTCGAACGTATTTCGTGCAATATTCGAGTCAATTCGTATATCCCATATGTATGTGCCATTAGCCTTACACTTGTATTTCAACCATTTATTCAAGAATTTATCGCGTTGAATGCGATGTCGTTTAAAAATCTGCTACCGAAATACGATGGGAAAGAAGCTTATGAATTTCTCACTGATTCGATAATTATTATATATTCTTATAAAATTCTTATAATTATTACATATTCTTGGAAAATTCGGACATTTAAATGACTAAAATATACAATATAAAATAATAAAATAATAAAATATATAATATAATATTCTTATAATTATTACATATTCTTAAAAAATTCGTACATTAAAATTACTAAAATATTGCAAAATTTTATTATTTTCTTTTCTCTTCACTCTTCTTCTTTTCCTCGTTTATGTGATTTAAACAAATAGAACTAAAATCGACTGTGTAATGTAAAAATATTTGCAAGGAGTTGGGTGTAAACGATAAATGAAAACATTGTTTGTAAAATTCTGAATTTTTGAAAATTGAACAATTTTAACAACATCCACAATTTTAATTTAATTCTTCGTCAAATTCACGTAATATGTAGAATTTCGTTTCTAAATATTAGTTAAAAATTTTAATCCATTAATACCTATATTAATTATCTCATGTAAAATAATCGAAGTGTGATGTAAATCGAGTTGGTAATATTACGTTATTACATCTGTAACATTTATTAAAAATACGTTTATACTTCTCGCATGATTATTACATAAGTGTAAAATTATAGCGTGAAAAGCTTTCCACGAAGCTATAAAATAAATTTCGTCATTTGTGCAACAAGTATTTTCGAAATACGTAAATACTATATCCGATACGACAGACACGTTTTAAGTAACGAAGAACAGATACGCCGGGAACACCATAAAGGATGTCTTTAATCTCGTTGAAAAATTATTATTATACCGAAAATTTTTATGATAACATTTTCTGCACACCTGCTAAAATAAATATGAAAAATTGAATTAAAAATTGGAATTAAAATTGGAAATAGAAAATTAAAAATTAAATTAAGAATTAAAATCAAAATCAAAGTCTCAAATTGAAAATTAAAAATTAAAAGGCAAAAGTGTCTAAAAATTGATATGCGTTAAAATTTTTTGCATTATTTAACAATTGGTTTAATATTTATTCTCAACAATTTACCCCGCGATATTGTACTGCTGAATTTTCGTTATTCATTGCGTACCTAGCATATAAAGGTCATGTTCAAACAGTCAATCGTTATAAGTCGATAAAATTCATTCGTCGAAATTTTATTTTTATCCGAATTTTATACCGGAAGTTGAAAGTCTATGCAAATATAACAACACACAATGTTGAAGTATTAATATCTAGATCGTAATCGTAATTTCTATATCGTAATCTATATCGTAATATACGAAGGAAGATTTCATTGGTGCTGAAAAATGTACGTATTTTTGTGCGTTACGTCTTCAATAGAGTCGAATGAATTATGTAAAGCTTTTCAACTTTTTCGTGCAGGAACTACTTGAAGACGCTGTTGAATTTTTAATTAACCTAGTTCATCAACGTAGATAGCTACACTCGCATTGTTTCAGAGTTAATTTAGAATATTCTAACGAGATCCTCCCACCTAAGATTATTATACAGGATGAAATTTGGAATAAAAATCGCTCCCCATTATATCACACATCGTATCATCCATTTATTAGGTGCACCTAATATGGTTATCTGTGGTTAGTGGTTGACTCTACTTAACGTAACATACCTTCATAAATTTTGCGGAATTTTTTCTTAATCTACGTAATGCATTTGACGAGATTCAATAAGTAATTTTTTTTTTAAGTGATTATTTGGGGAAATTTATATTTTATGGGGTAATGAGGAAGAAAATATAACATTTTGTATTATATAGCAAATTAATTAATTAATAGCAAAAATTGTATAGAAAAATATTATAAATAAGGAGAATAATATATTTCGTCTATCTTTTGATTATTTTATTCAATTATTTTATCATTAATAAGTGATCATTCTGGGAAGTTTTTATTTTATGGAACAGTGAGGAAGCATTATTTTATGGGGTAGTGAAGAAGAAAATATAATATTTTGTATTATAAAGCAAATTAATTAATTAATAGCAAAAATTATGTAGAGAAATATTATATGTAAGGAGAATAATATATTTCGTCTATCTTTCGATTGTTTTATTCAATTATTTTATCATTAATATTCTGATTGGAACTGATGAATTATTTCTTTGATTAATTTATAATTTTAGATTTGAAAATAAATATGTTAATTAAAATTCAAAGCTGTTTGAAGAACAAGATTTATTATAGAGAAGTAGAGTTACCATAATTTTAGAGTTGGTATAAAAAATAAAGAAAGAAAATAAATTGGAATAAAAATTAAATATCTGTCATTAAATACGTATTAATTATTTTAGGATGATAAGTGTTTTGGAGTAAAGACAAATATTTTATTTCGATTAACTTTTATAGTGATTTTTTACTTAAAATATTAACCTATTAATATATTCCTTTTTGTGAAATTAATTTATTATTATATACGACTGCATTTTGTAAAATGTCCTGGCTAGTACTTCGAGTACGTACCAAAGACATTATGAACAGTAGTCAAATTTACAAAGAACTTTGAAATTTGAATGGAAATTCCACTCGATATACAATCGATTCCTGTGAATTCACGATATTTCAAAAAGCAATGTTAAGATTCACCGAATGACAGAATGGCAGTCAAATTTCCCAGATGTATCGTGACATACTATGTAGAAATGACTTCTCCTCGTATAAAATAGCTTTTCGTTCAAACAACCCAGAGAAAATAATTTTTACAGAATAACTTTTAACAAATAACACGACGTAAGTGACTTTTCAAATATAACATTTTAAATATACCATCAAAATATTTTTATATTTGTCAAAACATTTCGTATTATAAACTCGGAAGGCTATGGAATTTAAATTTCCATTTCTCGAGCTAAAATACTTATTGGTAAATGTTGAAACGAATAAAAATTTTCCCACATCTTTCGAAAACAATTTTGTTTGCTATCATGAAGCGCAAAAGAGGTTCTGAAAAATTCAAAGCCGGAAGTGTATAATGGGAAAGCGTTTCGTATCTATTTCTGCAAAATGGTAAACGTGTATTGATTTTGCAAATGGAAACCAGTGAAATTAATCGAGATTTCACTGAACCATTATAAGAGCAAACAAACTGAAAATTGCACTGCAAGAATTATTTAATATTACTAGAACTATCTTAAATATTTAAAAAACTATTAAAAATATTAAAATTGTTCATGGAGATATTGATAAAGATAAAGATTATATCGAAATGCCTCGTATATCACAGCTTACACTACTTAATATGAAAAACTATTTTATTATTACACTAGTAAATATGAAAAATTATTCTATTATTACACTAGTAAATATGAAAAATTATTCTATTGTTACACTAATAAATATAATTATTTTATTTTACACCGTGATGTTCAAGATACTATAAATCGAAAGGAAATTAATTTGATACAGAAAAATAAATCGAAAATAAAAGTAACATTTTTTCATATGACGTTTAATTTTAGAATAACTGGATATTGGGTGTTCGAATATATACAAATGTGGGAATAAATTATACGAATTTTTAAAAACCTGTAACTTGAAACTGGGAAGAATTTATTTTATTTTTACCTTTTTTTAAACCAAATTAATTTCAATGAAATATTTGTTAGACTTTATGATATTCTTTCTATGAATTGTCACGTAAATTGTATTTAAAAAACAAATATGATTAACTATATTAACAGCATAATCTTCTTAATGTACTTGAATACAAACATTTTATAAACTTTAAACCTACATACTTAAATAATACGTAAATAGCAATTTCATTTATTTTCAAATGTAATTAACAGCTATTTAAATTTTATCTAAAAATAAAAATAATTTTCTACGTTTTTAGCATAATCCTTTTAATACGATTGGGCAAAATATTCTACGAAGTTAATGTATGCTTAATTAACATACATAGGATGACTGAAAAATTTAATTTCCTCGATTATTATTTAAATTACATGTGAAATAAGAAATTATTTATTATATTAACTATGAAATACTTGTTACAGGATCTTGTTTGAGCTATGGACATTCGTGTTGGGGAGGTACGTAATTCAAATTCAATTAATCAGGAAATGTAATAAAATTTGTTAGTATAATAAAATTGAAAACAGAAAATGAAGTACTATATTTTTATTAAATACTCTGTTTAACAAACTCACAAAATGACATAATTGCAGGTCATGGTAAACGTAGTGGGGGTCATAACAATGCATACCTAGTTCCATCAAAGACAGTGAACGAAATGCAACAAGGCATACCACCACTGACGAAAGAACAGTTCATACTTTCCCGCCTGATTGGTCGACCATTGGTGTCTAACAAGTATAAAGGAAGATGGGACAGACTTTTCAAGATAAAAACCAGTTTTCCAGAACATTGGGACGACGCTGAACTCAACGCACATCTTATCAACGACGAATCCATTCGGTAAGAGAGATTATGTAATAAATAAGAAATATTCGACTTACAATTAGTTTGCGAAAGAACATGTATTGTAAATTTATACTGCAAATTTATTATTTAGACTTTAATCTTAATTATTTTTGGATAGGTGTAGTAATAATTGGAAAGATATGAGAAAATGAGAAAATTTTCAGATAAATGAGATAAAAATAGATAAACAAACTTCCTTTAAATTTCTTCTATTGCAGGATATTTATTAATAATTATTTATTAAATTGCCAGTGTTGTTTTAAAACAGTAACTAAATATTTAATAAATAAACAGTACTAGTTTACTATGGTATCTAATTATTTAATAAAGAACTGGTGCTAGTACTATTTATGGTAACTAATTGTTTAATAAGTAACTAGTACCATTCCAATATAGTAATTAATTATTTGTAAATTAACTAGTATTATTTCAATATATTAACTTTGTAATTACTGTAATATATAAATAAATAATTATTCTCATCTGATTTAACCAACGATTATTATAAAAGGTATTATAATTATAATGTGTACTATTAATTTATACTACTAATTAACTATTACAGGGATCAAAATAATAACGAGGACATGAATCAGGGTAAAAGAAAACATACCAACGATGCCCAGGATTTGACAGGAAATATCAACGACGAGAGGAAAGAGATTCAGGATATACTAATGATATCGAATAACGAGGACAATCAGCATGGCAGTAAACCACAAAATGTAGAATTGTTTAAATTTCTGGTAAATCGAATAATTCGAGTAATTACCATAAACAGTGCTACGTATTCTTAATAATTTTCTTATTTTCATTTCCAGAGCGACACAAATGGTAACTTCGAATAAGAGAACGGAGAATTGCTGTGAAACATAATGTAAAATAGAAATTGTCATAACTGTATTGTAACTGAACTATTCAGAGTATCGTTTAAAATTTCAAGTAATCCATTAGAGATTTGGTTTTTCGAATAAAAATCGAGCGACTGTCCTATCGAAAGTTCAATGTACAAGCTTCGGTTTTCACTTTGGAAAGCGTGTATAGTTGATTCAAATTTTCATCACGATACATGCAAGAACAACTTTTCTATTTTTCAGTAACAAACTAAGTATTTTAATTTGAACTGTAATAGGACGAATAAATAATCGTTTCCCACTCGAACCCCCTGTAATAACTTTCATTTCATTTTAGTATTAAATATAATGTTTGTAATAAGTAGAAGAATATAAAATAAAAAATAACAATAAATAAAATATTAATGATAATGAACGAATTTATTTTATTTCTCTGATAACGTCAAAGAGACTTCAGATTTTTGAAAGATATTTCATAGAAATTATTAAAAAGTTTAAATTAGAATGAAATTATTACTTGGCTTTCAATTTGCTATTTCTTTAAAAAATATATTTTTTCTTTTAAAGAATTATGTCAATTGAGGTAATTAATCCAAAGCAGAAGCAATAATTTATTAGCATTTTTCTCGTCTACCATACATTTTTTTATAACTTTAGAATACTTGCAAGTAGCGATGTTAATAATTATTAATAATAAATTTAATAAGTCATAGATTTTTTGAAAATTAAAATTCGAGTTATAATTTATTAAATTTCTATAATAGTCTAACAATAAGTATGTTAAAATATTCTAATTTCATACTATTTAATAGTGGGAATATGTATTTGATGGAAGGAATCAGGTCAATTAGTGATCAATTCGGAATAATTATATTATACATATAAAATTAGACGTATGAACTTCAATTGATTACATGCATTATGCTTATTGCTAGATCGTTACCCTAATATAAACAATATAAATACAAAATATTAAAAATAACTGTTTATTTTTTACATTATTCTAAATTCTTTTTTAAGATGATTAAATATATTATTTTTTATATAATTTGAACAATAGAATATAATATTTTCTAAATATTATAATAAATTCTAAATCAATAATACATCCTCAATTGAATTCTATAGGATTTACTTCGCTGTTTAATTTTTTAATTTTTAAAAATTTTCTCTTAATTCTTAATTCATCTCTTATTTTATAAAAATAAAGCAATTATTTCAAGTGAAAGTATAGAACTTCGTCTTTCATTTGTAATTATACGATGTTCTGTCTTGTATCTTTATTTATAATTACATATTAGAATTTAGTATTTCATCCTGATCTATGAACACAGTAAACTTACTTTACACTCAATTGGTAACAATGGGAATGAGTTTAGAATGATTGTCTCTAGATGGCACTAGATACGACAGAACGTGTGACCCAAAAATACAATGAATGGTAGGTTCATTCTGTAACTCGACTGTGATAATATAGCAACATTAATAGTACGTTGGTACTAAATTTATGTCTTAAAAATGTTTTTATCTGATGTAGGTAAAACTGCAATCTGTATTAACCACCATTGATAACAGGAGAATAAAACCCAATCAATATTATTTAATTCTTAATCAAAGAAAAATTTACAGAAATTTTTAAATTGCAGTTAAAATACAATAAAGGAATATTTAAACATAAATGAAATATGGTAACCTTAGCCATACAATTAAAAATTAATTTTTGTGCACCAATTAAAATTTCACAGTTACTTCATCAACCCTGACATTCCCCTCAATAAACAATAAACTTTTAGAATTCTATAAATTAATGACTAAACAATGGACCATCATAAAATATTGCAAATCAAATTTTATTTCATTATGGCTTACGGAATATACTTTATACGATGCTTTATATCCTCACACTATTTTCATTCCATTAATAATTCATTAAATCATATTATAATTTATGCTGTGAATTATTATTATAATGCATACATATTAATTTATGCTATTAATTTATTGTTCAATATACACTATTATCATTGCATTAATAATTCATTTATTCATATTGTAATTCATACTATGAATTATTATTATTATAATTTATACATATTAATCCACGCTATTAATTTATTGCATGACACTACTTGTATCACTTTCGCTTCATTAATAGGCCCTTTAAAGTACATTCAATAAATGGAACAAATGTTTTAAGGAATAACATTTTATTTGTTCTACATTATGCTTACATATAATACAGATGGAACATTAACAATTGTACTTCATCGTCGCAACGAAAATCAAATAATACCTTATTTCATATAATACACGAAATAGTGAAATACAATAACAATTGTTTATTACTTCGCTTGATCGCAAAGAAAGTCAGAATATTCTATTTATAACTATACGTACTATGTCGTAACGATCGTTTAAATACAGTTCATTTATACAATAAACAATTCATATATACTTCGATGAACGAAACAGGACATGTTCTTAAATTATGAATAAATTATAATTATAATAGCCGAGGTATTTCGTTAAAATATTTTCTTTCGTGAATTTGACGTATCTTTGTTGTCTAACATTTTTCAAATTCAAAGTATGATAGAAACGTCTATTCCTTATTAAGCTCCACATCCGGTTGATAAGGGCGATGGTTCGACGCCAACTGAAATTATTAATCATCGAATAATTAGTTTCATCGATTAATCGAGTTCCTTAACTTCTAAGTTAGAACGAAACACAGAAACGAACCTATGGCTTTTGTCAAATACATTCATAACATTTAACAATTCTTCTCTTTAACAAATTAAATTAGTTTCAAGTTTACTTCGATACTAAATGAATCATACACAGGCCAAGATAATTATCTCCATTTATTAAAATTTTTGGAAACTTTAATATCAAAGTACTTGTTTAAACCTTAACCTTTTATCAATTACGCTATTCATTATAACAAAAATTTGTGCTAATATTTATACTGATATTCTGCAAATAACACGAAAGTTATGGTAAGAAGAAAATTCCAAGATCGTATGAGTAAAGTTAGAAAATAATTCAACGATATGTACAATATTTACGCTACACTAATGGAGATATTGACCGTGGTGGCGCTAGTGAGTTAAGTGAAAAGTCGTCTTAAGGCTGTCGAAACGCATACTCGTGAGAGGCTTAGGGTGTTTATATAACACCAGTCTCATATAGCAATAAAGACAAGATATTTGACTAATAAAACACTCAAATAAAACATTGTTTGAGTACTATAATATTCGTATAGTGGAACACTGTGTCCGAACATTTTATTCAAAGAACATAACAGAAGATCTTTCAATTCGTATTCGCCATGGGTATCAAAAATAAACAATAATAATGATATTCGTTTCCTGTTTCTTCTGTTTACAAACGAAATATCTGTGTACCAATTGTCGAATGATGAAGGACAACGTGAAGGGATCCAATATCGGGGAAACCCGACGACGCGACTGAGGAAGAACTATCTCAGATTGGCTCTCGAACTTTTTCTCTGGCGCAACTATCTCGTTGTTCAAAAGCAAAGCCTCCATCTCTTGATGTCTTACACCAGATGCACCGTCGTTTTCTTGCAACACGTTGTCGCGTATATGTGGATCAAACCTCTTCCCATGCCCACCGAAACAGGAATGGCCAAACGCTGAACAACCGCCTGTCAGGACAAAGGTAAACTAATTAGCTTTGTTATATTCATCAAAATGGTATATCAGTTTAGCTTTGGTAATTAAGCTTCTGTTAAAAGGCTCGTTGATAACTTGCGTAGGTTATCGGGAACTTTACCCTCGTAATACCCAGTGAAGCATGGATGTACCATACCTTAAACTTCGCAAATGCTTTGTACTTACTGCGAATAATAAATTTACACTTTGGTATGCCTTTGTTATTTATTAATTTGATTGATTTGTTCGCGTACTTGTTAAGTGATGATTATGGTGAAAGGAATGTTGGAGTATGGTTGCATTTTTACATCGAAGTTTGAGGTCAGATTTCAACTCTGACATTATGTAGACTGACAAATTCAATTTTATTTGGATAATGAAGTTGAGAGCCTCAAAGAATTGGAAATGTGTTTTTAAATATTGTGCTTTATGTCATTTATTCATATTAATCGAGATGTTTTTAAGAAATTTTTAGTATCATTGTCAATTCAGCTTATGTAATAAGATGTTAGAGGACGTTAATATGTTAAAACTGAAGCTAGGAAGTTGTACTGTATAACTAAGTATAGTATACGTGAGGAATAAAAATTGGAATTATTTATTTAAAAAATTATTCATTTTCCAATAACCTGTAACATACAAAGAACAAAAATTATGGAGTAAAATGAAAGTTATATAAGGAAAATATTTGTGAAATGCTTGTAATTATTATAAATTTTATTTGTAGATTTTTCGAAAATGGAAATAAATGTTATTTTTGAAAGAAAATGTCGGATAAATATGGCTTCCCTGTACACTCCTACGTTCATTCGACCTCACAATAGCAGCATACGTTCTTTTGTAACCAATAACAGGCTATTTTTTAATTTAAAAATGCTCCACCATATTTTGCTGTTTTATATCTCAGTTTTCCAATATCCAGGTTATATTACTATCAATCAAAACTTTTGCTGTAAAAGGTTTCAATTCATTAACATGTGAATATAACTTGTACTTCAGTTTATCGATGAAAATAATAATTTCTCTATATTAAAAATATTCTATTGTATTTTTATAAATTCTGAAAAAATAGCAATTGTAAAAACTTGAAGAATTGAAAAAAACAAGTAGAATTTAAATTTTAATATTTAATCTTAGCTTTCATTTAATATGAATGAATAGCAAAAGCTGAACAGCACTCAAAACTGGAGCAAGAATCGCTTAATAAAAGAATTTAAGAGTGAAGTATGGAAAAAGGAAAATTTTTAACGATTTAGTCAAGAAGAAATTAACATTATGATGTAAATAAGAGAAACGTGTACACAATTAGAATTGCTTTGCTATTTAAGCTTGAGCTTTGTACAAGTGAATTTAAGCATAAAGCTCCTACCAGCGTACTCTGCAATTTAATTAATTATTGCAGAAATGATAAATAAATATGTAAAGGGCATTTACGTGAGGAAGGTTACATCATTAATTATAAATAATAAAAAGAAAATTATACAGAAAGCATTATTACTTAATTTTATATAATTAGGATTCTCACTTTTATTGTCAGCTAATTATTATTACTCATTGACTTTTTATTACTATTTTTATTTTACTGTATTTTTAATAACACGATAGTATAAATGTATATTTATGATAATAATAAACAATAATTGCATCATAGCAATATCTAGTAATATGAAAATTATGACATAATTATGAAAATAATAATACATAAATAATAATTTTTGTACAACGTTATCTAATATTATCCAATATTATCATGGCCAGTGTCATAAATGTATATCTTCTGTTATCAGTGGCCATTTTTCGCGAATGTTCAAACGATACCGACTATACAACAACAATAACCATGAAGTCCATCGATATCTAAATATTTCTATTATTAACAATAAGGTTTCTATTAATATACCTATATAATTATTAATATTTATATGTAACCATTAATAACCATAGTTACACGTACACTAACTAACAAGAATTAAGAAACAAAGTTAGAAACTTTTATATACTTTTCATTTCATATGTCCATTAAAATGAAAAATTGTATCACATCAATAAATAATAAGTTTTTCTTTAATATCTTGTACAAAATGTATCCTAAATTTTAACCTAACCTATTTAAGGTGATGAAGAATATATAAAAATTCGCAAATCATTACTGTCTTTCTTAATTTCATATGAAAGTGACAATAACAATAACGATTACTGAATAAAATTACAAAATTGCAAGCAATAAATATTAAATAAAATTCATAAATAAAAATAAATAAATAAATTCTATAACTTAAACCAATTTAAAAATAGAAATACCCACCCTTATTCCGCGCCTTTGTTCAATCTCCGCCATCTGTCAACGAGAAACCCGTATCCCATATACTGAAACCCATTGCAAAGCAACAGAACGTAGCCCTTAAACGACTCGAAATATCGCGGTGCATACACAACGCGAATCGATCTCCCGAAGGTGAACAAATCGCGCGCAACATAGAAAGGGAAAAAGAAAACGTATGAATAAAAAGGGAAGAATGTGTCGCGCGAGAAGGCAAACTAAAAGTCAAACTAGAAATCGCGAGGACGTGATTGGTCGCACGTGACCCACAGCAGGAAATGAGAGCGCCGCGGCTCGGCGAGGGCTCGAACTTATTCACTCAATTATTATCTTAAACGAAGGCTGGCTCTGATCGATCAACGGTTTCGTGCTCTCTTCCCCCTGTTCGCGCGTTTTAAAAGCTTCGAAAGCACTTTAAAGAGACCCGATCGCGGAGGGACTCGTTTCCAAACAACGATTTTTCAAAGGTTCCACGTGCAAACAGTTAAATACCGGGATCGAAAAAATGATTTTTCTCCTCGATTCCTTCTTTATTTTTGCTCGGTCGGTTCACGTATAGGAGATGAAATAATATGAGGAGACCTTGGAATGGAAGGAAAAGGTTAGGTTCGAAGTTGATAATTTTAGAAGAGGGATTGGTGGAAAGGAGATTGAAAAATTCAAAATGGTTCTTCGCGGGAAGACTGCTGGAATCTATCATTGGATGCTATTTAGGCAAATTCTGGTCTTTGGTTTTGAGCTTTTCGCTTCATACGTGCACACCTGTAGATATTTAGGGAGTGAGGTATCTGTACATAAAATTGCAGGTAAGGAAAATTTTTATTTTCATTTTTTGACAGTAATCTTTTTCTACAGAAAAATATATATAGATTCGTCTCGATTTATTTTTAATTTTTAGAAAATATTTTGTGCGAGTGAGATAATTCGAATATTTCATATTTTTAACATATAGAATATCCAATCGGACAAATAGAATTTTCAATTAATTTTAATCAATAGAATCATTTTTTCTTTTTTTTTCTTTGAAAACCCCTTATGATTACTGTTCAAATTTTATATTGCTTCGTATTTAGATTGTGACTGGGATATTTATAGGGAATAAGGTAATAAATAAACGAGGAATAATCACGCTACAAGTAATTTGAAAATTCACTACGTGGCTATAGCAATTAAAAGATATAATAAATATCATATACAGCAAACAAATTTAAAAGGAAATTAGGTGCAAAATAACATCGCTACTGAGATTAAAAATAAAAGTACCAGGTATGAAAAATGTTTCATATATGAAGTAGCACACAATAACTGGTCCATGGAAAAACAAAGATAAAAATAAAAATCGCAGTTATCTCCTTTTTTATGTGGTTACTGTTGTTACTTGGTAATAAATCCAATCTTCTTGCGCATTAAACTTAAAATAAAAATAACTGAAGCTTGAAGAAATGTGATATAAATTCAACACGTCGTTTTACTGTAATATTTATTTCTTACACCTCGTTTCCTTAACGAATTTGACTAATTTCTAGAAATTTTTAAATTATAAAAATGGTTGACAAAAGATACAAGAGTATATAAGAATGAAAAATTAAAGTACGATTAACGAAGAAAAATTCAGAAAATTTCTATCAAGGCGAGTAAATAAACGTGAAAGACTTTTCCCCCCTTACCAAGTTGAGCTAACAAAGTTTCTGATATTCAAAAGTCACTATCTCTGGCATATATGAAAATCTTCGATAAGGGATAAGTAAAGTTCAAGCTGTTCGCACGAACATTCATGGAAGAAATTAATTAATATTTGCATATAACTTTATCAAAAGGATTACAACTTATTCGATAATAAAACCATTATATTCTACACTTTTGAAAATTTATAAACTTTTTCACTTCCTCTCAATATCGATATCTTAAAATATTCGTATATTAATTTTACTTTATTTATTTCACATTTTCAGACAACTAATTTCTCAAACTTGTAAAATGTACATCGAATATTACAAAAATTTATTTTTCATATCTAAAAAGTTTCCCTATCATTAAGAAGACAATTGAGTTATTACAATTTTGACTACTATAAATTGATCCCCAAGTTTTGATAAATTTTATCAAGCATTTGTATGTGAAAGGTATAATAAAATCGATGTAGTACATGACATAAAAATGTAATAAAATCTTATTGTACGAGGGGTGGACCCTTTTCCTTTGCCATCTGAAGCATCTGAATATTAAGTACTGGTTTAAATAAAAGCTCAGTTCTAAAGACTGTATATTATGATTGATTTTATCATCTCATCGAGAGTAATCTTCCTTAAATTATTAAAATCATAAATTTCCCTACCAATATATGTCTTTTTCGTCGTAGAATTTAATAAATATTCCAATAAAGCGTAAATATGTATAAAGAATGAGTCACTTAAATCGATCCCCTCGAATATCTTCTAAACACTCGATGATGTCAAAAAATGTTTCAGATAAGGGCTGATTGGTTTTAAGATAAACATAACTACTAACAGTTACTAACATTTTTGTTTAACAGAATATTTTATTTTTTAATTTATTAAGCGACGTAGTTAAGCTTATAGTTCCTCAAAAAATATACTAATCCAATTATAGGAAAAATTCGATACTTCAAAAGACATATAGATTTCAGTTTCTCGAATCACAAATAGCTAATAC